TGTCCAAACCTGTATGATGTTTTTTCATCTGTGGAAAACAAAACCAGAAGTTTAGGAGTAGTTTATGGTCTTTTCCTAGTAATAAAAGTGATTTTAAGTTAAAATGACAAAAATATAATTAAAGTGGTTCTTATGATTTATTTGGAATGACAAGAGGGTGTGTAAATGATGACAAAGTGTCATTTTAGAGGGAACTCACACCATAACAATGGTTATTTTTCTAGTTCTAGTGTATTTTGACAATTTAAGACATGCAAAACCATGGCAGCCCAGTCTCCCTACATACCGTCACCATGAGTGAGCCATGACCCCCATGTCTGACCTCCACCATCTAACCCTCATGTGGTCATAGAGCTGCTGACTAACTGTCACCCTGCCTTCTCTTTCCACCTTCCCTGCCTGTCGGACGGCCCATAGGAGAGCCCGCCCAGCTGCAAGGTTTGTTCCCCCTTATCTCTCTCCATTCTTAGCTAGATTACCTGAATGAATGACCCCCCTCAAGCACACATACATCTCTCACTGCTTGAGTAGAAGGACCGGGGCTATAGTACAGAACAGTGCATGATTGGTCACATAAAGGGGTCATGCCATACTTTTTTCATTTGTCATTCATTTATTTTCCCTCAGGTCCCCATAATTCATGCTCATTTTCCATACCCTCAGAATTAAACAGACCATTTTTGCAGCATGTGAAATGAGAAATGGCTTTTACTGAGGAGCCTCCGCCCTTCGGCAACAGTCTTTGCAAAGCCGGATTTACGTTGGGACAGGATTAAAATAATAATGTGTTGTGGACTTCCCTCACATCTTGCGTTTTTGTTAGCTTTATATCAAGTGGAGTGATAGTATTTTCTTGTTATGGTGGTTTAGTTCCTACTTCCTCCATGTTAACATAAAATAGGAGTTGTTTCAATATAAATGTGGGCGGTTGTGGTGTATTCAGTGAGCTTGGAACAAAATGTTTTTGGAGCTTTGTGAGAGTAAATGAAACATTTTTAAACTTGCCTATCTATCTATCTATCTATCTATCTATCTATCTATCTATCTATCATCTAATTGCTTCTTTAGTTTCATAAAATTCATTCTTTGAATACATTTAGTAGAATTTCAATTCTGTTTTTCAATTCTTCTATACATTCAAATTTAAAATGTGATTCTGTCTAGTCTTCTAGTCTTGTTTGTTGCATTATTCCAAATTTAAAATACATTTATTTTAGAATAAACAGTTCATGAGACTCTCATTTCTGTTGTAGAATATGATTTGATTTAGAATGTGATGTCAAAAATAACTTAAAAGGGCGCAACCTTGCTTATATTATCATGTCATTTGATTTCCATACTCCATTCCCTCTGCCAGTTTACACACAAACACCCACACACACACACCCACACACACTTTGTCATATTGGTTATTTGTGCATGGGGCTGGGCCAGGGGCATGAATGCACATACACCTGAATGAGGCTGCTCTCCAGAGAGCATCGCTAATGTCACCGTTGATTCTTAGTTAGTCATCCCAGTGATTCTGATGCCTGGAGCACGAGTCGCACATGTGTTGTCAAGGCAACGCCACATAGATGCTTGCCGATTGACCCCAGGGTGTTCTCTGTTATGTCATAATAGTCTTCTTGTCTCAACTGTGGGTGCGCTTTTCCATATTTGAATCTTTGCATTGTCACATCACAGCTATTATTTGTCAAAAATCCATTTTTAATGTGCGCAAGCAAAGTCAGATATTTCTTTAGTGCAGAGTGAAGGATTGCGGGATTGTCTCGTTGTGATAAAGATGACCGGTGCTTATCTTTTTTTAACAGAAAGTGATGCCACAGAGCAGTGCAGGCTTTTTATTTTGCTGGAGGTGATGCCCAGCTCATGCTGTAGACCAGTGGTACTCAACCCGCGGCCCGTCACAAATTCAAATGCGGCCCACCATGCTGAACACAAAAAAAAAATAAAAATTTCAGTTTTACAATTCATTTTAGTTTTTACATTAATTTAAAAATGTACTAAAGAAATATAAGCTATAGCCTAATGTTTTTATGTAAAATAATTTTGTTTTTCATATATTCTTTTTCAGACATGAGCAGACCTACTCACATAATTAACGTTATGCATTTAACGAACACTTAGCCTACAAGCGCGCACTTTGGCAGAATTCAATTCAAATAGTTATCAACAGCCATTAGTTCGGTAAAATTGAGCATCAGAATGGACAAATTTGTTTTTAAAGGAGTAAAACGAAATGTGGAAAATGCCAGCGAAGGAACACATACAAACAAGAATAGTCACAGTATCAGCAGTGAAAGTAGGAGAGTGCTGGACTTTCGGACCTCATATTAAATTCGAAAGTGCTTTCCATATTTGGATCAACATAGGCTACATTTGTGAACGCACATTTTCTGCAATGTCTCGCGTCAAGTCATGCTTCCGTGTGCGTCTTTACAGACTGCAACTTACAATCGCAACTTCATTGTGCTGTTACTCCTTTCGAGCCGAATTTAACAAAATTGGTCAGCTCCTGACAGCATCAGATGTTTTATTTATGGGGAGTAGAATTATTTATTTATTTCAATGAATGTAATTGGTTGGTTTGTATTGGTGACGTAATATGTAAATGATATGCTTGCGGCCCGCGAGACTTGCACTTGGACCATAGTGCGGCCCAGTGGAAAAAAAGGTTGAGAACCACTGCTGTAGACTGTAGAGAGACACACACACTTACACATATACACACACACATGCACGGAGGCTGGCTACTAAAGGAGACCTGGCGCGGTCTGTCTGTGTCAGCACAGACTTAATGAGGCAGCACACAAGAAGCTTTAGGAGTCAATGGATGTAGATAATGTGGATGAGGGTTCACTTCACTGAGCCGCCTGTACACGAGCAAGCCAGTGTCTAGCCTAGGGCCACAGTGTGTGTGTGTGTGTGTGTGTGTGTGTGTGTGTGTGTGTGTGTGTGTGTAGCCATACTCCAGCACCCTCCATTCTGTAGTCACGAGAGCAAAAGAAATCATCATTCCTTCACATTGCATGTCACTCCCTGTTATCCAGCCCCTGATGTCTCTATTGTGCACGCCGAGCCGATGTTAGGTTGAGTGGCTTTGGTGAGAGCAGTTATTCCTCAGTGTTCTGATGTTTTAAAAAGGTTGGGTTGGTTTTTATGGCTTGTTAATGGTGTGGCGCTCTCTACTGCAGCCCATGTGGCAAGTACGTGAGCATGGGAACAGATGACAGCCCCTCATGCACATCATAGACCACCTGGAGCTAGCCAGGCGGAACCTCATAGGAGCCGGGCAACGATTGAGGGGGATGATGGAGGGTGTGCTGCTAGAGGTGAATAGAGAGAGGGAGAGAGAAAGATTGAGGGAGTTGAGCTTGACCAAATCAATGCAACACACGTGCACGGTTAAACATATGCACATCTGCATATGGTGTTCTGAATACTTGATTTTGAATGGTCATTCTGCACTCAAATATTTTTGTGTAATGACTGCTAAACTAAATAATTGAACGTTGCCTAGCCCCTGGTAACATATTTCTTACATAGCTATACTAGTTGTATGTTGCCTGTTCGCTGTCTCATTTCTCTCATGTAATAAAATAATCTAAAATCAATATTTTATGTTTTGTTTATTAATTTAGTGTGCTTCAAATCAGGGTCTTGATGACCCTGTTGGCAGCAACCATCCAACTGTATATCATGCCTTACTTATTCAGCACGTCATTGCATAACCTACACTACTGTTAAAAAGTGTAGGGTCAGTAAGATTTTTTAATGTTTTTGAAAGTATTTTATGCTCACCAAGGCTGCTTTTATTTGATTCAAAGTACAGTAATAAACAGCTAAATTGTGAAATATTATTTAATGTAATTTGTAATAAGTTAAAAAATTAACTTATTTAATTAAAATTTTTAATTAAAAATAAGTAATGAAGATTTTAACATGTGGATTTATGAAGAGTCTTCAGAATCACACAAAAATCATTCTAATATACTGATTTGGTGCTGAAGAACCATTTTTATTTTTATTAAGTACAGTTGTACTTAATATTTAAAAAAAAAAAATGTCAGGATTATTTGATGAATAGAAAGTTCAAAAGAACAGCATTAATTTGAAATGGAAATATTTTGTAATATTATAAATGTCTTTACCAATAACCAATAAATAGCTGATGTATAACATCTATTTTATATTTTATACATTTTTTCTAAATGCATTTACCATAAAACACTAACATTTATAATTTTAATATTATATTGTTTTAAATGGCAGAGTTGTATTTGAGTTTTTTTTTAAAGATTTCATTCAACAGTGATGTTATGATTAATTTATAGTGTTGAATATGCAATTTATAGTGTTATGTTAATTTAAAGACAAAAATAATCAGTATGATACTTATATATCATGCATTTTTATTGTACTGTATGCAGGTTTGTGTATAAATTCACATTCAAGCTCAAACATGCTGTGGTAGCACATGACCCCTAACTTTCTCCATGACCAAACACCACTGATTTAATTTAATTCCTAATTCCTTTCTCTCTTCCTTCTTCCCTCCTTTGAATAGCCCCCACAGAGAATGTCATGTTGAAAAGGGAGTGAGGCAGCAATGTTTTGCCGAAATGTTTGTTTGCAAGGATGAGTGATGTCTGATCCCCCTGAGAGCTCATTTTGCCACGTTTGCGCTTGATTTGCTTCTTATGCTGTTTATTAAAGGTAATTACAAGCTGTTTGGAGATCTATAAGAGACCTGCTCAGGGGGAGCCTCCTCCAAAAGGTGTAGGAACAGAATGGAAAATGAGGTACACTTGCGGGCGACGTGGTGAAATCGCATGGGTAGGGGTTGCAGGTGTGCTTAGAGAAAACACTGCGGAGGAATGTGTCTATAGTTGATCGGATTTACTGATACATCGCAATCTCTGACACGGGAAGCGCTAGATCCGAATGAATCTTTGACATGCTGGTATGTTAGCAGCATGTGTGTACATCTTTCTCAGGTAAATCTGGTAGAGGTGCAGCTGCCCCGTTTCCCCCTTTCCCTCCCTGCCGTCCCAGATCCGTCCAGGTGTGTCTCAGCCAGCTGCCGTGGAGGGGAAGGAGCGGCGATATCAGGAGCTCGTCAGCCTCCCAACCCCCCCCTTCTCCATGCCGTGCGGTAATTGTTAAAAAGACAAACAAGCTGCCTGCCTATCTGTGCATAATGAAAGGGGGCCAGCCGCAATTTGGTCCTCACTTAATTCATTAAGTATTCTGAATTTATTTTCTCGAGTGACAGTGGCATCTGTCGTAGCTGGCGAAGAGGACTTACGTGCACATGACGTTACACAATGGAATGCGTGATGAGGGGGAGGAAATGTGATAAGGGTGCAGTGTTAAAAGTATAGTTCACCCAAATTTAAAAATTCTGTAGGTATTTATTTATTAATGTTCTTTCTGCAATGTTCTGCATGTTCTTTCTATGCAGTTACTATGAATGGACTGAATCTTTAAACTTTCAGTTTAAAAGTGTTATAAATGTTCCATATGATTTAGTCACTATATATTCCAAGTCTTCTGAAGCCTTATGATAACTTTGTGTGAGAAACAGCATAGATCTATGCCATTATTATTAGATTTCCTCACGAGAATTCCTAAAAGAACTAGTAATGTCCAATTTGTGAATGAATCATTCGTTTGAGTTGTATCTTTTCAGTGAATCACTTGATGCAGTGAATGATTCATTCATGAATCAGACTTTTTTGGTTCTACTTAACTTAAATGTTGGTCTTTCTCTCCTAAAAACTTATCATATGGCTTCAGAAGACTTGAAATGTGGAGCATGAGTCATTTGGACCATTTTAATCATCCTTATTGAAGCTTTAAAGTCTCCATTCATGGTAATCACAAGGAAAAGCGGTCAGAAAAAGAAAGTCAAACAGGTTTGGAACAACAAGAGGGTGAGAAAATCATTTAAGAATGAAGAGGTCTCATTTTTGGTTAAACTGTCCCATTAAGGAGGTCAATCAAGGTGTGCGGGGGTCAAGGAGTGTGCGATTTAGCAGAAGAAAAGGTGGGGACAAGGTATAGATTTTGTAAGAACCCAAGTTCACTCTAGTTGTCGTCAGAAAAGCAGAGCGGTGCAGGTGATACAGCGGTGCCAGGTAAACTCTGCAAATAAAGCCCCCTAAATACTGCCTGATAATTAACATCTGCTGTCTGGTGTGATCTTGCCTCTGCACATCAGCTCAGTGTGTGAGTATATATACTGTGTGTGTGTGTGTGTGTGTGTGTGTGGGAGGAAGGAATAAGCGGATGTCATAGCTCATCAGTGCTCTATGTGAGATGCGCAGGAATCGGGAAGGCACACTCTCGATGGAAGGGCGGAGGCGGAGGTCCCAGAGAGGCGGGGGGGGGGCCCTCAGTGTATGTGCGTGCGCTCGAGCCCGTGTGTGGGAGAAGGGGCCACCTGGGGTCGGACTCTTCAAAGGCCGCTCTCTGAGGAGCGGTGAGAGGTGCCTGTATGACAGGAATCTTGGCTTTGATCCGGAATAGGAGTCAGAGTGGGAGAGGAGATGGAAGGCAGGAAGGATGAATCCAGAAGGGAACTCAGAGGTGTGACTTGCAGATAAAAAAAAAACAGAAGGTGTGGGACATGGTAGATCTAAGATAGGCCTATCCCGTTAGGTTTCTTTTAGGATTCTCTCTAAATCTTCACTTTTACCCTGTGGGTATGCCTCTAACATGCTTCTGCTGTTTGTCTGTCTCCTTGTTTTGTTGTATGTATAACTCTGTGTTCACAGGCATTCTGTGTTTATGTTTCTCGCTTTGAGTTACATCTGGATTGTTTAGAGCATTCATTTCATTAACTAGTGGTATATTGTTCATAAGTTTTAAACTTGAACTTGCAACTTTTCCCAGCTTGTTTGGAATACAGACTGTAACCTCAAATAATGTGATTTATTGAGGAAAGTTGTTCTGTTACATTTTAAAAGTTTAAACATAGGATGCACAATTATTGTTACCATATCATATATTAGAGAATGAAAAGTATATTACATTATGCAATACATATATTACATAATAAAACATACATGTACAACAACACATTGTAAATAAAATACTAGATACATATATTTAGTGTAAATATAATATTATATATGCAATATATAATAGAATAGTTATATTTTATTGCATGTTTATTTCTACTATTTTACATTTAGATGACATTTGCCATCATTTAATGCTCACTTGAAGGTAATCTAGCTAATCAGTAAAAACAGTAATCATTTAATAGCATAGTTGATTATAATATTTAGCAAATCTCAAAATTAATAGCTATTTTGTTTACTATAAATAGTAAGGCTGTGATGCCTAGATATTAATATTGTCCATCCCTAGTTTAAACTTGTGCTTTTCTCTCTGTGTGCTTAAAAAAAAAAGGAAAACTTTTTATATAATCTATATAAATATAAATATAATATCAATATAAATATAAATACAAATGTTTTTGTTTTGTTTTTGTTTAGTTTTTTTGCTTAAAGTAATCTAGAAGTTTGGGATATAGAAGGAATTCTGTGATTGGCTTGGTTTTATCATGCTGTGTCCTCACTGGTTATTCAGCATCACCAACATATTCAGATATTTCACCTTGAATTTGTTGAACAATTTCAGATGGAAAACGTATGAAGAGATTAAGAGAATGAGTGAGGGTAGAAGATTATTGGGTATCATCAAGATCGAGGGATGTGACGGGCGGGTGAATTTGGCAAGGAACAAGGGATGAGATGAGAGGAATGCATGATCAGTGCTTTTCCCTCCCTCTCGGTACAGAGATGTTGCGGGAGGAATAGATACGGAGGGAGAAAGAGAGAGAGATAAACTGACTGAGTGCTGATGAGGGAGGTTGACCTTCGGAAGTGAGTGAGAGCGAGCGAGGAGGATGAGGCTGGCTGACAGGGGCTCTCCTGGTTTTTGGCAGCCTCTCAGTCAGCGCGGTGAGCAGCTGGACTTCATTAGGCGCTGGTGTTAATTACTGGGTCCAGGCTGCAGCACAAAACACTCACCGTAATTCAGCCAGGGTCACCTTGAAATTGATCACCATCAGAGAGAGGAAGATGGACTGAGTAGAATGAATGAACGAGTGACACAAACTATTTGGTCTGTTTTTAAAACCTAGTAAGGCACATTCCCAACATGAAGACTGTTATAAACGCTATGCATCTTAAGATATAGTTATGGCTTAATTCTAAGGCAATTTGAACCCTTTGCAGTGGATGCAATACCATAATGAATTCTGATAAGCTTAGTGGAAAAAATGAACCCAAGATTACGGATGAGCCAATAGAAACATTGACTTTTAAATACTTAGATTTCATTCAGTACTGAAAATTATAGATAAAAATGGTGTGTGTGTATGTATTATGTTTGTTGTCTGGTACCTTAGTGTCACGCTTAAGACAAACTTTATTGAAAGTTGTTGGAAATCTCTTGGAGAAGCTCTATTTGTGTGGAATACTGTACGTTGATGCCAATGTAGAGTGATCAAAATCTTTTTTTGTTTTTTCCAAATTGTCTATACTGTTCCACTAAATAGATTTAGATTTGATAGTATGTGTTAAATAGAATATGTAGAACGTTCTACAGCTCTGCAGAAATGCAGGAACAGATTCTGTGCCTGCTTGAGGTTCTATGATGGTTAGGTTGCTGTCTTGGAAAGTTTGGCATCGAGGCAGCTCACTAGGTTCTGAAACAGAGTTTGTGTCTTCTAAAAGAACTGTGAAATAAAAACAGCTGTTTCTTAGCTAGTGACACAAATGGTGAGTATTAAATGCTACAGCTGTAGCAGACGCCGTGGAATGTCGGATACGGGGTGAAGTCGCAGTCAAGGCAGTGATCGCTGCGGCTTGGTTTCCTGTGACACTGGCCTGCAAGGTCAACCTCCCTGTGGCGGATGACTCAGCTGACCAAACCTGGGAAAAGGACCGTTCAGGGCTTGAAATGTGTGGGAGAGAAAGCTGGCAGAACGCACAACATTTGGAGATTATTTTCCGTCCACTGCTGTGGGACCTCTTCACACTTATGATAGCTCTGTCGCGCACATACACACAGTTATACAATTACTTTAAGTTATTCTTTGCAGTGAAGCTCACGGTCCTACCTTGGCGACACTATGGTAATTACAGTACAAGAGGACAAAGAGAGACAAATGGAAGTCGAAGAGGTATGAGAGAGAGAGAGAGAGAGAGAGAGAGAGAGAGGATGTAATAGTCGGCCTGATGCATATGCAGTCCCTGCGTACCAGAGGCGTACAATAGAGTGCTTTTATTCAGCATCCTCACAAAACAAAAGTCTACCACTCTCTGCTCTCAATAATACAAAGGTCTGATACAATCTCCTTCTTAATTCTCAACCATGTCAGTTTTTCAGGAATGTTTTTGCCTCCTCCCTGAAGAAAATCAATGCATTCTGATTTGGTAATTTCCCATGGTGCCACGCTCTGTGCTCCCTACGCTGAGAGAGGTGACAAATCCGGTCATGGCGGCGTGAACCTTCCCCCCTCTCTTCTCATCTTTCTCTGTTTCCACCCTGCTTTTGTTTGTGTTTCTCTCTCTCCCTCTC